CGAGGCTGAGCGGGAAGCGCCGACGCCCGCGGATGGCGTCCCGGGCGGGTTCGGCGTCCCGGCGGCTTGGTGCGATGCCAGCTCTCGGAGCGGACCGCGCCTGTCTCGTCGGGTAGCGACGCTGCTCCGAGCGGGGCGGGCGTTTCCGTAGGTGTTGGGCAGCTCTTTGGTTTATTAATGACTACTCTCCAAATCTCCTTGTGAAAAAGTAAATCAAGGAGGAGTGACGTTTCACGAGTGAATGGATCCCTCGGGACAGTTTCATAAAACGGCCTGGGATTCCACTGCCCTTCAAATCTTAAACTACTGCTGAGGTTGTTTGTACAGCAGGTAGATGATTTCTGTACTAAATCTTTTCTAAGCTATGAATTAATGTCAAAAAGACATCAAACTACTTTAAGTGTAGAATTACTGTGAGAGGAAAAACAAGCAATACGGATTATCACCATTAATTTATATTCTTTGGCAGACAACATAGATAGTATCATTTTATGTGATGTTAACCATAAAGCACAGAGGTGTGACAGTGTTGATCTTCACTTCCTGCTTTGTTTGGAGTCCCTTTGTTTTTCTTTGCCTAAAGATAAGATATTACAGAGCGCTTGATTAAAATTCTCATTTGAAGAAATTGAGTATAATTGAGCCTGTACAGAAATTACATCTATTTGCCTGGATTGTTTTTTGTGTGGATTCTAAAAACTTCTCATTTCTTTTCATTTGTCTCTAGGTTGACTCACTTTGTTCCTATCATCCTGCTTCCCTCCCCAGCTAATATACTAAAGATACAATTTAAAAGAGGAACCAACCATGTTCAAATGGTTCAACCATGTTCAACCATTTCCTTTTTCAGTAACAGAAAATTTCACCTTACTTACTGATGCAAATTGCAGTTTGGAAATACAAGAGACAATCTGCCAGTTGGCCAAATGAAATTGATATATTTAAATACAGTTTGCCTGCGCAAGCATGCACTTTCTAGTCTTTGAGAGTAAATGTTTTTCTCCACACCGCCTTTCTGGGAAACTTTACTTTTGGGCTCACTGAAGACTACCTTAAACGTTGTAGTCAGTGTCATCTGTAAGAATGGTACAGGGAAGTCTGCAAATTTTCATCTCCTTTACACATTCTCTTCTTGTCTACTTGATGATTTTCAGAAGTCTGTGGCCTAACTCGTGCACTATAATTCAGTGTAAAATGCATGTTTGTAAATTCTGTTTTAAGCAATTTTGATGGTAACTTTCTGAAACTAAAATTAGCATGAATGAGACATAAAATCATACTTCAAACGCTTAATTTTTACTACCTGTACAGATATGTTATTGGCAGCAGTCCTTGTACAGCCCTGAACGTGGAATCAGGAGACCTGGTTTGCAATCCTTGCTGTGTCACTAACAAGCTGTGTGTGACCTTTGGTAAGTCATTTAAACTGTACATGCTTGGCTTTGATATTTATAAATGAAGAGAGAGGTGTCTTCCTCCCAGGAACATTTTCAGGATTTAAAAATAAGTATGAAAGTACACTGACAGTAATACCGGGGATTTATTTTATATTTTAACTGTGTAGTCATAGGGCTGTTTAATAGTATGATATTCTTAATTTTTTCTATCATTATCATGGTAATCATTTATCATACGATAAGTACCTGGGTTTTGAACATGTTACTGTTTTGTGAGATAATCATCTAATAGACATGAATCTCTGGGTACTAATGAAGTCATCTTTCACTGTAATGTTTTTTACTGTCCAATTTCGTTTATTGTATCTAGTGAAAGCTGTAATTGTACTTGTTATCATAAGTGCTTTTATCATTATTTCTGCCAATTCAGACACGTTTACTAGAAAGCAGTGTGGTATACACAAACTATACTATACTTTCAAGAGTAATATAGGTATTTCTAAAGGGGTACTTTTGATTACACAAAATTTTCGTCTTTATTAGTTTTAAAATAAGACTTCATGCAATATAATTTCAAGTATATCAGACTGTTTAATCTATTGACTAGAGTTTTTAGATTGCTATTACAATACTGATTATTTCTTATAGCGGTTACTGTCATAAAGCTATACTTAAATGTATACTATAGAGCTAATTTCTGGTATATAATCTTGCAAATCCTGTTCTGATTTTAAATTAGGTATCATCATTGTAAGCAGGCACGTTACATTATAGATATATTACAATATACATAATAAAATGATTGGTATCCTTTCACCTCTCCCAGTTAATCATCTTGGGAAGCTATAAACTTGGCCCAGTCGTACTGTCATTGCTCAGAGTATGTCAAGCACTTTAAAAAATATCTTTAATAATAGTTAATATTCATTTTACAAAAAAATTTATTTCTAGAAACTGCTAACTGTTCCTTATTCCTGAGACAGTGAAGTGATTTTGAAATCACTCTTTTGAATGAAAAAAAAAGTGTGATTACTTTTTAAAATTTTTGTTTTTATTGTGTACTCTGGTTTATAGAAAACCTCCAAGAGTATGCTGTGATGTAGAGGGAATACTGGAATAATCAGCTTGAAAAGATGACTTCTTTAAATATATAAGCTCTTATATATATATCCTTAGGTCATTACATTATGGTCATACTTCTCTTCTTTAGCAACCGGAGAAGTACATAATGTGTTAGTGATTTTCTAGTTATCTTACCTGTCATTAATTGTTCCTTGTTCGTATATATGTGATAATTTTAATGGAATTTAACCTTTTAAAATCAGAAACTGACAGCCTTTTTTTCTCTTCCCAATATCATGCTCTGCTTTGCCGTGAAATGTTTTGTGTTTTTCAGCTGACTATATTATTGGATTGTTAGTACGTTTTCATTGTATTATATTACATCTTTAACCTTGAGTAGTTTAAAGCCACTTCCATTCTACTAAGGTATATGGAGGTTATAATTTTAGTGGGTAGTTTCTGTCTCGATATTGTACCACTTTCCTTCTTGGTTGATAACTACATTATAACTTTCTTATAAATTGACTAATCCTTTATAGTTCATGTCATTTGCTGTTCACCGTCCTTCTTTGCCTAGAGGATGAATCATCCTGGTAATTCACTCTACTTTCCATCCTTGTCTTTTTTCTAGCCTGAAACTTTTTCTCACTACCTTCTTAGTAACACTTATTTACTAAACATAACATTCTTTATCAGTAACAAAGTTTTGCCCTGTTTTTGTCTGAAATACCTTTTTTTATTTCTAATTTGGAACAAATGAATACCTTGAATTTTTCTTAATTATATATTTGAATGTTTTAGTGTTACATACAATTTTCTGAAGGACACAGACCATTTTTCTGTGTATCCCTTTCAACACAGCATATACATACCATAATTCAGAACACATGTACCTGCAACTGTCTTATAGATAGATGTTCAATGAATTATTCATTGAGTAACTTTTACCATCTCTACTCACAGATTTCATGAAAATTTACTTCTGTGAACCATTTAATAAAGCAAAGTAAATATAACGTTTACTGTATATGCATTCATTGCCTAGTTTGGTTGTCATTGTATTCCTAATAACTTTACTTTGTAGAAGCTTAAGTGAAAATGGAACATGTTAGAAGACATGAAACAAGATCACATTCTAAAACTCAAATGCCTAAGCAAAAATCTCGAGTTGATTGGAGGCGGACCAAAAGAAACAGTATCTCACAATTATTTGATAGTGAAGAAGAGCTTGATAGCAGTGAAGATCTAAGTAGCGATGAAGAGCTTCATAGCGATGAGAGTGTTGACAGTGAGGAAGAGCTAGATTGTAACGAGGGGCCTGATGGTAATAAAATACCAGAAAATGAAACAGAAATTAAATTAACCAAAGTTGAAAGTGGAGGAAGCAGCAATACGCAATTCATTAACACCGGTGACAGTTCCACACATGAAGAAGAAATAAACAATCATAGGTCTGTTGACTTAGATTGTGAAAAGGATCTGAGTCAAGAGGATGATACCAACAAACACACTGCACCAATCATAGAGGAAGATTTAGAAGAAGAACAAATCAAACGAGCAAAAAGAAAAAAGCTAACTTCTGTAATGGATGACAGTGACGATAGTGATGACAGTGATATCTTAGCTAGAAAAGCAGGTGGTAAACGTCCACGTAGAGTGGTTGAAGATGAGTGTTCTTCGGTGGAAATGGAGCAGAGTAATCCTGAAAAATCATTAGCTGCTCGAAAGCGAGAACAGCTGCAGAAGCTGAAGGAGCTCTCCAGGCGAAGATCTCGCCAGAGAAGCAATAGTTGCAGAGATTCTGAGGTGCGTTACAGTTTGTTGGTTTTGTTACTGTTTTTAAATTTTTATTTGAACTATTCTTATAAAAATCAAAGTAATGATTCTGTTCTATTTCTTGGTAAGTCTGCAGGTTTTTATTCAGTTGTCTGTGAAGGTTTGATTGCACTATTACGTATATTTTTATATGACCCTCAGTCCCTTTCTCTTTTTTAAAATTGCACAACTATTTGTTGTTTTGGATCATCTTTTTTTGTTCTTTCTTATATTTTTGATGTCCATTTTAAACATTTCATATCGCTTAAGGAGTGCTCTTCCTAATTTCAAAAGTTCAGCATGTAACTTTTCAAAATTCCTTAATAAGCTTAAAATAGGAACTTAATTCTGTGGATCATGTTTTTCTGCTTTTGGATTTAATCTTTTAATATCATATTCATAATGGCTATTTTAAAGGCAAAATTTGATATGCATTTATTTTCATTTAATTAGGACTCTGAAAAGGAATCCTGTCCAATTGGTGATGAAGATGAGGAGGAAGAGGATGATTCTGAATATGATGAAGATGGAGATGATTGTACTGTTGATGACTTTGTACTACAGGATGAATGTGATGAAGTGAATGAAAGTCAACAAGAAGAAAAATTGACCACCTCACACCTGAAATTAGTGAAACAGAATTCTCTGTGTAAGTTAAATACCAGACCATGTTTTATGACATTCTAATAATTATAGTATATCAATTATAATTACAGTATACCAAATCACTCTTTTAGTATCTTGTTCTGAGTCACTAATTAGGAACCATGGTTTCATTTTCAGATAACTTAAATTTGTCAGTCTACCAGTTTATTCCAGTAGTCTCATGAACTCTTCTCACACTAAAAATTATTGTTCCCAGCAAGCCTTTGTTTCTGTCATGCTAGTAACACTTAGCAGTGTAGAAATGCAAAACTGAGAAACTTAAAATACGTTTATTCATTTAAGATTAATAAATTCACTCTGTTGGTATAAGTAGCATTTTATAAAAATACCTGTTTTCTCCAAGAATGAGAAAAAGGACGTCGTTTTACATTCTGGCAAAAGACCTTTGATGTCTAGCTTATTAGAAAGCAGATGAATTCTTATATCTGATTTATTGCAGTCTGTTGTGACATTATTTTGGTTGAAGTATATGAAAACAGTTTTGTTTTATACAGCCAGCTGCAAAAGGAAGGACTACTTTAATAGTGTTTTCAAAATAATTATGGATATTCTCATTTGATATAAAACATCAGAATTGGATAAGTGACATTTTCCTAAAAGTTAACTATGATGTGTAGTCTGAAACCATATAAATGAACTTTTAACATTAATATTACAATTCATTGGGGATATCGTGCAGTTTGAATGGGTATTTTACACATGCGTGATTTTGTAACACATTAGTCATTTGAAAAATACTCATTGAGTGGGTTATGCAGATTCTCCAAATGTTGATGCATTTCACATTTATTAATATTACCACCATTGTCACTGGACTATTTCTATAGTATCAGGAACCTGTCAGGTATACAGTGACACATACAGGTTTGTCAAAATTCCAATTTCCACATAAAACTTCATTTTTTTTTTTTTTTAATCATTGGAAACAAATACTGTGAGGTCTTTAAATAATAGCTCACTTTTTTTTAATAAAATGTCTGAAAAACATCCAAATCTGAATAACTGTAATTTGCCAGTTATTCTTTGAAATAAGATGTTTCACGAGAAATGATACTTTGCCACATCACAATAGCACAAGTACTTAGCCTCAAAACAATCTTTGTAATTTGGTAAGCAGCATAAGCATTTTATGTGTATTTCTCACTTAATTCCAGAGGGTCCTAAAAACATGCATACTTAAGGTTTAACATGTAATAAAATTAATTTTTATTCCTTATCGAATACATCTTTAAGTGAAAGGGTTGTGTTTACGGTGAAGCCCCGCAGTCATGACTACAGTAATGACTAGTAGTTTGGTGCTTCTGCTGTTTTAAGGAGCCATCTTCTTTATGTAGTGTGCTTGTACAGTGTCAGTGAAAATGTCTGAACCAGTGGATGAATAGTGCCTTCATGTTACTGCTTTGACATCACAGATTTCTCTAACTGGACTTGCAGACTGCCAGGGATCTGTAGAGCACACTTGGAGAATTACTGTTTTGTCAGGCTTTTTGAAGCCTCATGTAAACAGTGAAGCCTATTAGAAATAGGAAATTACAATCTTCTATATTTTCACATAATTAATTAAAGTACAATAATAGACCTGAAATTTAGGATGTATTTATATATGTATTATTTGTCTGATCCCTATATTTATACATAAATTAATATAAAGATGGTATTTGTGAATTTTACAACTCTGGTAGAAAAAGACTGGTGGAAAGAATTGTGTATATTTTTCTTCAAGAATGCATCCTTTCCAATACTATCTTAGAAAAGGCATATATACTAAAATTAAGTATAACTGACTGTGGTTTCAATCCCACAGTTGATAGTTAAATAGATCGTGCTGAGTCAAATTTCAAGAAATAGCCCTATTAGAGATGTAGTTACTAGGCATCCCTATACTATGAAATTAATGACTTCCTTCCATATATCAGTAGAGTAATAATTCACCTGCTATGTGGACATTTAAATTACAAGAGTACTCAGGGTGGTGGTGCATGCCTGTAATCCCAGCATTCAGGAGGCTGAGGCAGGAGGATTACTGTGAGTTCGAGGCCAGCTTGTGCTATGTGAGTTTAAGGCCAGCCTAAACTATATAGTGAGACCCTGTCTCATAAAAAAGATACTCAGGAGGTGTATCCCATCATTCTGTATTATGTATCTAGAATGTGATAAAACATTTGCTGAGAGATGCCTGCTCATATTCATTTCTGCTGAAAGTCTAGCATATGGAAACTGCTTCAACTTTCTTCTTTAGCCTGTACCTCCACAATTACTTTTTTGTGGCAGTTTTGGATTTATAGAAATAGTAAATGGGAAGTACAGAGAGTTTGTATGTTCTCTCACAAGCAGTTTCCTTTATTACAAACCCTTGCTTTAATTTGATACCCTTTATACCTAGAGTTGGGCCAGTATTGATACATTATCAATAATGTAGGTCATAGTTCTTAGTGTTGTACCTTCTATGGATTTGGACAAATATAAAATGGCATGATTCCTCCATTACAGTCTATGTTATGGCTTGTGTTTAGATGTCCCCCCAAAGCCTCATGTAGTCATAGATGGGGCTTCTTCAGAAGTGACTGTATCTGGAATGTGGGATGCTAGAATTGATCTAGTACAGTACTAGGCTCCAGGGCACAAGCATTAAAGTATGAGTACCACTTGCCCTTAGTAGTCTGGATAAAAGAGACAGAAAGATGCTGTGAAGGCCCCTTATTGCTTCTGCTGCCTTGTGGGTGCCATGAACCGTTCTTCTTTGAGAGGCCCCTCTGTCAAGGCTCCCCAGCCTCGGAGCCAGCCAGTTATGGACGGAAACCTCTGCAAATCGTGAGCTAAAGAGACCTGCTCCCTTTTACTGGGTGTCCGGTATTTTGTCCCAACAACAAGAGAAAAGTAGCTAAGACACACTATAATAGTTTAACTTCCTAAAAGTTTTCCTTTTCTATCATTGCCTCCCTCCCTCCCTCTGAACCTCTGGAAAACCACTGATGTGTGTGTGTGTAGTTTTGCCTTTGATAGAATGTCATATAGTTGGAATAACACATAATTTGACTTTTCCTATTGGCTTCTTTCATTTAGCGTTATGCATTTCATGATAGCTCGTTTCTTTTTATTGTTGAATAATATTTCATTATATCTGTTTTCCAGTTTGGTTATCCATTCACCTGTTGAAAGACATCTTGATTACTTCCATACTTCACAGTTATGAGTAAAGCTGCTATGAACATTTGTGTACAGGTTTTTCTATGCACAAAAGTCTTCACCTCATTTGAGTAAATACAAAAACAGAGCTGTAAGCTTTTAATACTAAGTATCTTTACCTTTGGAGAAGATGTATCTGATTTTTTATACAGTAGGTTTTATCTTGTGTGTTCATAATTACACCTGCTTTTATCATCCACTCAGTTTTCTTTATTTTCAGCTTCCAAATCTTTATCCTTCTAAGCTGTTTTTTCCTTCAGTCATAATCAGGTTTGTGCCTTTCCTTTGAGTTGGCATGTTCTACAAACCATAATTCTAAATCATATTTTTTGATCCTGCTTCTCAGTAAAAATGCAAAACACTGTACTGTGTATTTGGTATCCATCAATTCAGTGAAGTTGTTCTTGTCAAAGTGATTGATAACCTACTTACCAGTATACTCTTCGGTTCTTACATTAACCTCGTATTACTATATACCTGAGATAATGGAATTTAAGCAGTTCTTGATTTGCTAGGGGATTCCTTTCTAAGAGTTGCTATAAGTTAATTATTATAAAATCAAAATATATTTTCTCGTTCAAGTAATATTCTGTATGATGAGTAGTGAAACACACTGTGTGGTCTGGATTGAGTTATAATTAGACCAGTGTTCTCCGATTCGTGTGCTAAAGATAGTATATACAGGTAGAGAGGAAGAAGATCCTGGCTTGTGGATACTGAAGGTGATATGCTTTAGTACCTTCTCATGTTTACAGTGACAGGAACTGTAAGCAGAGAGGAGGAGAGTACATTTCAGTCCCTAGTTCCTCGCTAAGTACTGGAAGTTAAACGCAGGGAATGTCACTGTGCTGTCCCTCCAGCAGACAGAATCGCTCGGTCACCACGACAGAGCCGGCCCTGAGAATAGCTGTCATTTGCGTTAAGTCCCGAATCTTGCGGCTTTCCCTTTTGTTCTGTGAGAAGGGAACAGCAGTGGTGAACTCATATTGCAGCATAAGGTAAAGGTGAACTCAGAGGAGGAAAATTTCTGTGAAAAATGTTTGATTAAAGGAAACTGAAGAAAACTTTGTAAAGCATTTCCTTTCAATCTACGAAAAAGCAGTAGAATGTCATGAGAAAACAGTTGGGTTAAAGATAGCTAGCTGAAAAGAATTTCCAGAAAATTAAAAATATAAAGTCAGAAATAAATCTATATTGGAAGCAATAGAGAGAAAAATTAGCAGTACAGAAAAGCTCATCGGTGATATACAGGCTAAAGCTGAGAACTTCTCATGCAAACAGGAAACAGCAAGAACACGGTAACTTATGGAAGAAGATAAATTATGCGTAAAGGAATAGAAGACCCTATTTCACAAATTCCTGAGGATCTAGTATACAGAACAAGTGGAAATCTAAAAAAAGAAAGTTTTATAAATTTTAGTGTGATTGGTGAAAGAATTACTTGAATGTAAGTATGGTCAACCATATTTTTAGATAGGAAAACATTCTGGAGTTACTTTCATCACACAAGACACCTGCTTATACGGGTGAAAGAGACATTCCTTATAAATTGATGCAGATAACTTTGCAAGTAGATCTATGAAGGAACTATTTTTCTGATAAAAATAAAAAGACCTAACCATTCTTTTTAGAACTATATAAAAATCATCTATTAACAGTCATCTTAATATGCTACATTAGTATATCAAAAGAGGAAAAATTCATATAGTTTCTTAAGATTGTAAAAGGGTATTTGATAGCTTTCAGAGTCCATACGCACTTTAGCAAAAGCAAGTATATAAAAATTAGTAATAGGAGCATATGTCCTTCACATGGCAGTATTTTAAACCAAGAGCCAACATCATAGTTATGTTAAGGGTCATGGAAATATTCCTTTTAAAATGAGGTATTAAGATGTAGTACGGGCATGCTGGGGATTTAGCTCAGCGGCACAGCGCCTGCCTGGCAAGCACAAGGTTGTGAGTTTGATTCCTGGTACCGGAAAAACAAAAAAAATGTAGTACGGTATTGTTTTTACATTTGTTCTGAGTCTTTTAAATAATACAATGAGCTATGAAAGCAAAACAAAAAATATAAGTACAGATGATTTCCAATTTATACTTCTACCTAAGCTATTTTGACTTTACAGTGATGCAAAAGTTAAATGCATTCAGTCGAAATCCTAGTTCGAATTACGATTTTTTCCCCCCCTGGGCTAGTGATAGGCAATGTGATGCTCTCTTGAGATGCTAGGCGGCAGCATAAAGCAGCTCCAAGTCATCCCCAGAAAAACAAGGTTAAACAGCCGGTCCTCTAGTGTACTGTGTTACTGAGCTATGATGTTCAGTAAATTAGGCGTTTTCTTGTTTTTAGTGTTTCTTTCTTTCCAGTGCTAGAGATTGAACCCAGGGCCTTACCTGTACCACTGCCCCAGGCTGGTTGTATTAAATGAGCTTTCTTTTTACTTTCTTTTTTTTTGCAGCAGGAGTCAAACTCAGGACCTCGTACTTGCCAGGCAGGCACTGTGCCACTGAGCTATATCCCTGACCCTAAATGAGTTTTCAATTTAGGATATTTTGAATTTAGAATGTCATCACCCTGTTGTAAGTGGAAGGGTATCTGTATTGACAAAGACATTTTTTGTATATACTATGATGTGTTTTTATGTGTATATAAAGACACCCACATAAACTATAATTTTCTCACTTATTTAACCAAAGATACAAAAGAAAAGGGATATTAGTATTTTGAGAGGAGGGGTTGTCTTTCCCCAGTGGGTTCTGTTTATATGGAGGGGAAGGTCACATCCGTTGGAGTGGAAAAGTGAGTCAGATTTTTGTTCTGCTTCTTCCTACTTCTACTGGGCTACTCCTTCATTCCAAAAGAAAGTACATCCATACTCTATGTACTTCTGTCTAAGTGAACATTTATAAACTTTGGTTCAGTTCCTTAGATAGTCTTAACTAAGATCAGAATCGGGAGAGAAACAGGGACAGTGCCCAGGAATCCCTTCACCGTATGTGTCTTCAGTTCTGTAGTGCCCCAGAAAACTCCTCTCCCACAAATACTCAAGAAAATTGAACTTTTGAAATTAGTAAGAGATCTCAGAAGAATGACCAGAGTCAAAATAATTATAGAAAACTCTGGTTCTCTTGAATACAAGCAGTAAATACTTAGAAGGTATAATCAGGAAAAATTGCACGTACACCGGCAAGTGTCTAATCCTAATCTTAAGAAATGTGGCTTTCTACGTGCAAAAATAAACTTTACTCTGAAAGAAAAAACAAGAATAAATGGGAGAGACAGCATAGTTCTGAAAGTTCCTTTGCATAATACAGAAGTTGTTTCTTCTGAAGTTAACTTTTCCCTTTTTATTAATATGTGTTGTGACACACAAATACATTCCTTGTGGGGAACTGGCACACACATCATCTCTTGATCCTTTTACTTCCCCTCAGCCTCCCCTCCCTCCGCTCTCCTTGCATCCCCAGACCCCCTTCCTGTCTCCAGTCTCCCCATTTCCTATCATCTGTATCTGACTTCACTTTTTTATTTTAAAGAGAAAAAAACAAAATTTCAAAACCAGACAATAGAAGGGTAATGGTTAATTGTGTATTGTTATCTTTAAATCAGTTAGTCAGAGTACAGCACAGCAGCATTTAATTGTCCAAACAATATTAGCACA